TAAAGAACCCGTTACTCCTTCTTTCAAACATCTGCATCACCCTCACAGAACTACCATGGAAGCTTAATACGGAAGAAATTGTCCAAGCTGAATTAAAGTTTGCAAAACTAAGGTCAGTTTTGGGGTCATTTAAGAATGACTCAGTCTTCTGTAGCAAACAGGACCTGCAAGTCTTAAAAAAAGGACCTCCTAAAAAGTTAAAATTAACCTTATGCCACCAACTTATATCCCGCAACACTCCTGTTGCATGTATGCTCTACCTTACCACAGATTTAACATCAGTCTTACGCAAGTAGCACCTCAGCTATAGTTTCAGCAGAGACTGGCAGATGACTTCCAGCTTTTCCTTCCTTCCCAGCTATGAGGCAGCACAGCAGTGCTGATGCTGAGCTCTTTCTATTCTTTGGTCTACACCTCTTTGGATACCACTGCTGCCTTTTTATCAGATACCCCAGTTGCCTTTGTAGGAAACAGACTTTTCCAAGCTGTGCTGACAAATACAAAGGACCAATACACAGCTGCTCACTTCAGAACTACTGGAGAAAACATGCTTTCCAAAGGAAACACATTTAATGATCAATTACTTCAGTCTAGCACCTGTTTACAAATAAAACATTCAAAAATTATTTTTTAATAACCTTTACAGCTCCTGGAGGACATCTAACTGGCAGAGATGGAAAGTGCCCATTGAACCCTTATCAGGTACCTAATATAAGCATTTTTTTTCATCATTAGGTCAGAGCTAGACGCTGTCTGACTGTGGGTCAGAGTTGTGGTGAAGCTGGTGCCACTGTCGAGATGTAGTGTGAACATATGTGATAAGAATTAAACAGATATTGAAGAGGGCAACACAATGTTCTGATGAAAAAAACAGCAAGTGCTCTGCTTCTGTTCCAAGCATGGGTACAGAAATGGTGAATTGATTCCTATCTGTTGCTGGCAACTACATCACATTTCTCAGGGTGAACAAATTCCATATAAAAGTGACCTTTCACTCTCATTTTTTTCTGACTGGAAGGCTGTTCCAATTTCTAATTTTTTCATTAGTAGGAACTTTCTGCTCTCTAACATACATTTATTTCTTGCCAGTCCTTATGTCAAAATAAAAGTGCTTAAAGTAGGGAACAAAGTAGTATTAAAAATATTCTAGAAATAACCAAAAAAGCTCAAATTCTAATTACTACTGTCTAAAGCCCTAAGCATTTTTTCAGTGATGATTTTCTCTTTCAAAAAAAACCCCACGTCAGTTATGAATTTGTATTACCTATTTAGACAAAAAGGCAACTCTTCAAAATTAGGAAAGGTTGGACTCCCAGTTGTCAAAATTAATTGTCAACTTTGTTTTTTCTGAACACTTATCCTTGTTCATTAAAAACCACTTTGTCTCATAAGGCTAATACACAGAACCATGCAAATGTACACTTGGATAAAACAAATGCAGATAGCTTGAAACAGTTTAGGCAGTCATAATTTACCAAGATCACAATGCCTGTGACTGTGTACTAACAGAGTTTTAACAACTGATTTCTGGGTCTTTCCAGAGAAAAGGCCTAAAAACCTGTCATTTGACTGATTTGACTTACTAGTCTGTTTATCTCAGTTGAAATGACATGAAAAACTGTTAAAAACCGTTAAAAAACGACCTACAAACCTTGTAACCTTGTTAAACTTTGATTTAATCTTTCTCTTTTTCTTCTAACCAGATGCCCTTTCAAAAAAAAGCAAAAAAAAAAACCTGCAAGGTTTATTTCAATCAGCTTCTGTTGGTTTGAGGTTTTTTTAATGCCTGACTAGAAATTTTTCCTTTGCTTATCACACAGACTGCCAACACCACACAGTGAAGTGTTTGTTTCACAAAGAAGTATTTCTGAAAAAGAAGGTGGTTTTCAGACAGGTATGAAAGGAAAACAAAGACAGTCTTTCACAAGGTTCAAATACAGCAATAGCAGGGTGGCCCGAAATTACTCCATAGTGAGAGGATTAGCAAGGTCTCCATATCTCTAGACTCTGTCTCGGGCTTAAAGCTCCTCTCCCCCAGACACACACAGAGCTTAATCACATCAGCTGGCATCTTACCCTCAACCAAGCATGAGTTGCTAGAACTGAGTACAGATATTTCAAACACGTACTGCGTCTCCCTTTAGAGAAGAAGCCACATATCCAAAACAGCATCTCATGTTTTCCATTAAACCATAGCTTTTCATCTTTCCTCACAGCTCTGGAACTTGGAAAAGCTCCCTCAGGAGACAGCTGCTCTTTTTCTGCCTCTCACCCTGGCTGTCCTAGTAGCGCCTACATACAGCCCTGCAGCAAAGGCAGCCAGTGCCCCAGGAGACTTGACTTCCTGCCAGATTGTCAATGTTCACCCAGCACTGTTTCTGCAAATACATTTCAGCTTCTCTTAGACAACCTATCTCAGAACAGCAATTTTCACTCAGGAGAGGAATAAATTATATGGGATACACCAGTTCGCTTAATCAAATGGAAGCGGTACCTGTTTGGGAAAGATAAAAAGTGCAATTAACTTCTCTCACACCTAAATGAAACTATTTATCTAAAACACTTGAACACTGCGGGTCAAAGAAAAGGCAATGTTCTTCAGTAAAACTGGCTGTAGCTTTCAGAGCTTCAGAAATATCCATGAGCATTTAAAAACTGTCAGACTTCCTGAATTTATCACTTGCTACCAAGTTCCTCCTACAGTAAACAAATCTTTGAGTCTTGCTGATAATTATCAACCCTGCATCCTGAGCCAATCCTGTAGCTACCAAAGCAACTACAAGCCAAGAATCCAGTTAGCTTTTTCTCTTACTAAAAACACACACACACATCTTTGCATATGAACCCTTTCAGTAAAAGGTGTGCTAAAAGTACTTGTTCTAATCAAACAAAAAGTACTGCATGGGAAAGAATCAGCCCATCTTCAAAAGCAGATTTGCTGGTAGCTGCCAGGTCCAAAATGTTTTTGAAACATGGAAATTCAGAACTTTTTTCTGAAAAAAAGATGAAGTGTGTTTGGTAGGTACAGTCCTAGCTTTCAATTATTTTCCTTTCATGTACAGACCAGAAATCGGAAAATTGTCTCCCTCATCACATGAGATATCATGCCTAAGCCAGTTGTGATTTAGATATCTTAGACAAGATATAAAAATATTTGTTCAGTGTGGAAGCTGTATTTACCAATGACACTGACAGAAAAGGGAGCACCTTTAGCCTAGTGTTTACTATGAAAGAAAAAAGTCTTAAGCTTTGTATCTTCTGTTCCATTTGACTTCTTAAACCCCTACACTCTTTCTTTTCTATTCCAGGCTTGGCTTTGACTAGAAATTCCATTTTGGACCAGAGAAAACACTTCCCATCATGTCTGGTATGTACATTCCTAAAAAGGAGGACTGGTTTCAACTAATTAACATTCTCTAATGGAACAGCTACTTTGCCAGAGGATTCATGATCAGCTCTAATTTGACTTCTAAGCAATTATTCGAGCAGCATGACAGCAATTACATTAGCTGTGAATGTAGCATTTCCCAAAAAGAGGACAATAAATTAAAGACTGATATAGCAAAAAACTGACAAGACCTGGCAGGGCTTGAAAGCTGCTGCTTAATGTTGCATTTCCCAGAAGACACTGACTTGGAAGGAAGGGCTGCTCTGATACCACTCCCCTTTCTATTTCTTATACAGCACTCAAGTGGGACAAAAGGAAGAATTATTTTCAGACAACAGAAAATGATTTCAGAAACCTTTTCTTCACACTTTATTTTAGGCTGACACCTTAGGAGTAAATTTCTTTCTCACAGAAAAGCTGTAGAGCATCTCTAAAATAGTCAAGCTGACAGGGCATATGCAGTTTGGTTGTTAGACTAAAGACATGCCTTTCCTTTATATTCTGTATCACACAAGCATTTGATTACCCTCAAATCCAAGTCAATGCCCTATTTGAGTCAAGCATAAAATATGTGGCAAGACTAAACATTACACTTATTCAGCAAGTCTTTGGGCAACTGTCACACAAGAAGCTTCACAGCCTGCATTTGCTCTTTCCACTGCTGAAAAAGGCCAGGCTCAACCCCTGCTGGAGCCTGAATTAAGGATCATAATTATCACAAGACCCAAATGGTTAGGCATTTTCTTAACCCTAAATTTTTTGAAACTTCAAAATACTTCTTTCCCACACAAAATCTGAAAGAAACAGTCCCTAAAAACAAGTTGTGGCCATTACAGGAGAAAGATACTGGAAAATTTTCTGCTGCAATGCCCTGTCATAGCTCTCTCCCCATCATCTGCTAAATCAAATCCGAATTGAGAAATCTTCAGATTAAGGCAACCGGTGCAAGAAAAAAAAATCAAGTCTGAAGTTCTGCCTATCTAAAAAGTACATAAATAAGTACTTTCCTAAAGTCATTCCTTCATTTTTTTATGTCTCCTGTAGAGATTCCGATTTTAGGTTATAAACAAGGATTCCTAATTGGAGACCTTCTAATTGCTGCTTCACATTTTAAAAATTGCTTTCTTAGGTCTTTTGTAGAATCAATAGACTACACAGTTGAAATAAGGCTTCAAATAATGCATTCTGACAATATGGGGATTTTCCCTGCAAGACTCAGTGTCTATTCCTTTATGAAGCAGGCTTATTTTCTTTAAGAGTGCTATGAAAATCTCACTAAAAAAGTGAATGGACTGGGTGATCCAAAAGACACATGCATATGAGTACATTTTTCTAGATGTATAATCCAGCTGCCAGAAAGAAATTTGAGAGACTCAAGTGATATATCAGTCCAATGATAACTGAGCTATAATATACGTTCATTGAACAAGGTAAACCAAAGTCAGCAGCTCAGAAGTTGTAAGAAACTTTCAAAGGGTAAGGTAGTCTTAAAATTCAGGGCTATTTAATATATGAGGAAAAAGTAGCAAATGAAAATTTAGACAGTTACACAGCTTTAAAAACATCATGTCCAGTCCCATCACAAATTAAACTTAAGAACTATGAGCTCTTGTTGCACTGGTGGTCCAAAGATCATTTATTACTAGCATTTTACTGGTACAAGGGGAAAGACAGGACAAAAGAGATGAGGAATTCCCTAATCACACACTGTTAAATGCTTTACAATTTCACTGAAGGATTTATCTTTTATTTTGCCTTGTAATTAGCAGGATTATTTTGGTCTCTAGCTGGTAACGATCTTGCATTTTGCACCAAGCTTTAGCTGATTAACAACCACAAAAACGTGTAGGATAAGTGGATTTAAATGCCAAAGGTGACAAAATTAACAAACTGGGGCCTGTTCCAAAATACAAATTTGCAAGAGAAGCAAACAAATAAATGAATAAATTTATTTGAATCACTGTATAGCACAGCAGGGTTCACGATCAATCAAATTTCACACTTTTTAAAGCTTTCTTCCTACCAAATGTAACAAGCTTTAGGAAGTCCTACAATGTGTCTTCATTCCTTTTGAACAGTCTAAAATTAGATGCTAAACCACACTATTAATTCACAGAATTATGTCAGAATATAATCCTAAACCAAATGGAGACACTTCAAAACACATTTTTCTAGTTCATGTATGTTTAGTTCCAAGCAATAGACAAAAAAAGTATTTTCCCATGGCTCTAGCACTCACTCCTTTGATCTGCTGGTAGCATGCCTCTTCTGTGCAAGTGTTACCTATACACAAAAACTGAGGTCTGCATTGAGCAAGCAACTTTGTCAATATGGACTTTTCAACTAATCAAAATTCCTTGAAAAGTGGAAGATATTAGCTACCCTGGAACTTAGCCAGGTCAAGCATCTGCAAATACTGAACACAGCCCACTTTCAATACCAAGCCCTTAAGCTGTTTCCTGAAACAGGATGCATTTGTATACATAGTGTTGTATATTTATTTTACAACAAAAATGCTTACCAAAAAGAAAAACCCCACTGAAAAACACCTCAAAAACAAAACAAAACAAAACCCTCCAAAACCCCCAAACAAACACATAAAACCCCCCTCTCTGGGCAACTTCATGTGTATTTCTTCAAGAGACATATCAGCATGATAGTAATAACTTAAAAAAAAAAAAAAGAAAAAACCAAAAAATATACAGTCAAGGCAGAATTTTAATTCTAAGTGTAAATAATTAAAAGAATCACTATTGTCACATTTTTTTAGCAGATGGAACAAAAAGCAAAAATGCAACAAAATGCCCAGTTTTTTTCCTTGATGGTACCTACAGGCACAAAATACAAACTCGCCATTGTAATCACTGTAATCATGTAGGACACAGCAAAAACTGTCTAACTTCTGGTTTACAATAGAATAATTGGAACCATCTGGTTTGATAAAATAGCAATCCATACCACAACCAAAAAACAGTTTGATTTGTCTCTCAAAGAGTTTGTTGAGAAATAAACTAAGAATATCTGGTGTACTACAAATTAGAATATGTCATTTGTGTACAGCTGCAACAAACTGGCATTACTTTGAAAAAGGGAATATATTACTATACCATCCTATGTTATAAAAGCTTGGAGAAATTACTGACTTGTTTAGATATGAGTTTAAGGCCCTAATTAGCTGCATATAATTAATATTTACTGGTCAATTTTTTCTGCTTCCTACATTTTTTACATTAAACTAGATATAACAGGAATCAAGGTGCTTTCTAGCTAAATAAGTGTAAAAATAAGTAATGCAAATTAAAAAATAATAAATTAATTTAGGCAGTCTTAACTGCTAAAGAAAGCCTAGAGCAGTCTATGACATGCAGCACCCAACACCATTCAAGACAAAAATGTAAAGCGCAAATAATTTATGTGTCCAAGCTGACTGTAAACAAGTATCTCAATAGGCTTGCCCGTCTTCAGCAAAAGTAGTATTTAAGTATTACAGCGCTAATATATGTTCTGTTCAAGAATTTCTTAGACTGTGTGGATGATGTAGAAAAGGGGAGATGGCTTAAAGTCAAAAGTACCTCTCTATCAATAAGTTTAGACTGATGTTCCAGCTACCAATAAACAGCATTAAATTCAGAGGATTGGCACCCATTAACATAGGGGACAACCCTGAAAAATTATTTTCCTGAAAATATTCTACCCAGACTAGGAGTTTTGGTGATTTTATTTTTTAATGCTCCTCTCTTATGATGCTTTCCATATTACAGTTCTGTGGTTCCTGTTCTTGCCTCTAATCACATTTAAAAAAGGAATGCCTATTTACACACACAAGCCACACCATCAAACCTTGGTTTGAAACACTACAACCATGGGTTATGTCTGAATCTGAAAGCAATTCTTGCTTCTTCAATGTACGATTTACTGCCCAGTAAAGAAACAAAACACCTGTCTCTCAGTACTTTGAGCTGATCAAATAATTGAAAAGGTGATTTTCACTTTTACAGTCCCCACTATCTTAAGCTGAAGTTTGATTCCTAATTTTATCATTACTTCTGTATTACAGTTTATGTATGTTTTTAAAAAGATATGCAAATAGAATACCAGATTATGAAGTTACGTAAACTATTTGCTATCTAAAGATTCCTTGTGGACACTAGAGTCCTGATTTTCTAAGTTTTCTCCCATGCCTTCTCAGAAATGGGTGCTAAATAATGCCAATTTAGCAGAATACATTCAATGACACCTTGTTAGTCTTCAGGACAATCTCCCAAGCTATAACACCATTTAAAAAGATAACTAAATGGGTGCACTGAGATTCAACATTTCTCCTGCATCTACTATTGTGTTAGCAAAAAAATGGTTAACTTAAAGAGTCTGGCTGCTGAAAGACTGCTTCAAGTGTTTCACAGAAATATTTAAGTGGTTAGACTTACACCACCACACAAAGCCCTAAGGGATGGTATTGACCCCATTCCTTTGACACACCTTACAAAAACCAGGGAGTTCCTATGAATATCAAGCACAGTTTTGACGGGTCTTCCAAGAAGTTTACATTTGTTTTGTAATACTCTTTTCAAGCATTTGACCAGAAATGGTCTAATGTGAATTTTTCCCTGCAATTATTTTTTCCTACACATTTCACTAACTTATCAGTCTGCCTTAACATGCAGACTAAGCAGCACTGGGGAGGCAAATTAGTTTCTTGTACTAATTGTACTTCTTGTACAGTTTCTTGGTGGTCCAGAACTGAAAAAACAGTCAGCTCAACACAGCTACCAATAATTATTACCATAGATCAGATAACAAGTAGTGTGCCAAGTAAAACTATATATATATGTATGTATAACTTTTTGATTATATGTCACGGTACATCTGCTCACAAGTATTTAGATTGGAAGGACCTTTAAAATCATTTCAACAGGACATAGAAAAGAAACTGTAGAATGAAGTCACTGTTATTAGTCCTCTTCAGAGCTAGATTCATCTTCCTGGTCAGAGAGCTCAGCAACAGGAAAGCGCAGGATAGCTGCCACCCCTGTCAGCTGGCCCAGCTGCTCTCCAGACACATGGAGGCTGGAGAAAATGCGTACTGTGCCCATGTTCTCCCGTACGCTATCTACCAACTTCACGTATCGGGCACGTGTAGCCACGTCCTGGTGCCGAAAAAGCTCATCACTGATCAGTAGGGTATCAATGGCCATGGCTTCATTGGCCTTCTCCACATGTTTCAGGCCATAAAAAGCCCGGTCAGGCTCGTGCTGCAGCATTTTATAGAAGTCATCTAAGGCTTTGACTTCACCAGCTGCCTTAGTATCAGAAAGACGGCTAGTTACAGCTGGGTCGCAGAGTGCTTCCTTCAGTGCGTATTTATGTCCTGAGGAAGAGTGAACCTAGAGTGAAAACAAAGTCAAAGGTTTGGAGTTTTTGAAGAAAAAGGACAATTTTCTTGATTAACCAACCACAAACACCCTCTATGATACGCCATATTAATCTTGATAATTATCTGGGGAACTTATCTCCTTGAAACACACATGATTCTATTCTTAATCTCTCCTGAAACCCAAAACCTAAACCAAATCCCTTAAACTGCCTTTCAAGCAACACAAGAAAACTGCCTCTCTTATTCAAAGGCTGGGATAAATATATGAGCTCAACTGTTCCTAAGGTAAGGCTACTTGAAACTACCAAGAAGCTAAGATCTAAGTGTAAGCTCTCCTTTTTAAAGCATTCAAGAAAAGGAAGGCCCCTCAACACTGCAGACATATAAACTTAAAGCATCAACTCTGTGCAATTATTGTAGTTGCAAAGTTGTGAAGTACACTAAAACTTCTGTTACCACTTTGCTACACATGGAAAAGGAGGGTTCTTGGTGCACTGGGTCTCCTAGGTACTTGGACCATTAAGCACTCGAACTCACTTCACTAGTGCTGCCCCCAGATCACCCTAGGCCTTCTTCAACCTAAAAATTATACAATTGCCCTTATGAAAACCTATTTTAGGCTCTGAATATGCCTATTTCAGTATAAGGCTAAACTCCCACCCACTCAACCAATGAGATGAGTAAGAAACAAGAAAAAAGTATAGCCTTTAACTATGCAGTAAAAAACTAACAAAAAATTGTGGTTAATTTTTGTAATACAAAATTAACTAACATATACCACATCCAGGTACTTTAAAAAAAATCTTTAGAAAGTTGTTATTAAACACATATGCTATAAAATGTGACAGAGTAACAGTGCAAAGTATTTTCCAACTTGCACTTCACACTTAATTGAAGAGTAAATAAGGGAGTTTGAAATATCTAACATTTTCTCTACTTCACATTAAGGTATCCCTAGGGGGAACCATCCTTGTACCATGTGTAACTTATTTACAGTTCAGGAGGCATGAGAATAATTTCCTCATGATGCTCAGTCAGAAATTTATTTCCTTTAATGACCTATTTCCCATGTAACTACCTCTTACTATCACACACAACTCCCAAGCCTCTTTTTACCCACTCTGGAGACTGCTTAGATCCTTACCTGTAGGAATTTGGACCTGTTCTCCAGCAGAAGTTTGTTGTCCGTCTTGACTGCCTGCTGGAACATGTAGTCACAAAACTGCTCCCGCACGAAGCCTGGGCTAGCCACCAGTACACACTTCACCACCTCAAAGTTGATATGCCTCTGGATGGCTTGCACCACCTGCTCGTAAAACCTCTCCAGCGCCCGGTCGTGCTGACTGCAGTTCCCTTTCCGCTTGCGGGGAATGTTCACCTCCACCTTGGCACGAGTAAGCGTCATGCTCGGGGTGACCAGACAGACGTGAGCCAACCCTTCCTGCATGACCACGGCCGCCACATCGGCGCTCCAGGCCGGGTCACAGGCCTGCTCGATGCGCTCCAGCACCACGCTGTCCCACTGTTTCTTCGCCAGGGTGAACTGCCGGTTGGGCTCCAGCTCGATGGTGTGGTAGGCGCCCATCTTCACATACTCGTTCTCCTGGATGTTCGTGCCCTTGACGCGCAGTTGGCAGGCCTGCGAGTCGAAGTCGATGGTCTCCACGCATAGGGTGAGGGTGGTGCGGATGCGGTTGCTGCCCACGCTGCCCGTGGACGACTCGGTCTGAACCTTGCGGATGGTGGAGGCGCGCAGGCTGTCACCCACCTGCAGCAGGTTGTAGGTGTGCCACATGTCCTCAGGCTCCTCGGGGATCAGCGTCACCTGCCCTGCATTATCCTTCTCCAGGTCCTTCCTCACCAGCTTCATCCTGGCGGTTCCCCGCGTCGCTCCCCGGCTTCCCCTGTGCCGCGGCGGCAGCAGGCAGCAGGCGCGCTCCGGGAGGGAAGGCTGGGGGCTGGAGCCGGCGGGACCACGCACGCCCGGACGGACGGACGGACGGACG